ACGAGCGCTTGCATCACTAAGGAGTTTGGGGGTGTTGTGTCTTCTGCAGGCTGGGATGACTGTGGGAGAGGGGGGTCCTAAAGTTGACTCATTAGTGTCCATGGGAAGGGTATGGCCCTGAAGAGACAGAGGCCAAGTGGTGACAGTTAACCTGTGAAAGCCAGAGGCCAAAATGATGATAACAACTCCAAAGGAGCAGAGACCGCTATCTGGTGCTGTCTTCCCAGTGGGAAGAGTAAGTGGGTCCAGGACCAAGGGGTGTGGCTCTTAATTTCCATCATGGGGGATCATCCACTGGAGGGTTTTGCACTTTCTGTCCCCACAATTTGGAGTCTGTAAAATGGGAGGTCCTGGTTCCCAAAAGGGAGATGTTCTTACAAGGGCACATGACGAGGGTCCCATTGTCCTATACAGTACGGTTTTCTCCAGGGTACTTTGGACTCCGTACGCCCAGACCAACAGATGACAGGAGCCCCGTCTTCTTGAGATAGGAGTAGTTGACCCTCATCTGCATGATGGGGAGGGGCTGGTGTCCCATAATGGGGGCAGGAAGAATATATATTTTTAAAGATTTTATTTATTTATTTGACAGAGAGAGAGAGAGAGCACAAACAGAGGGAGCAGGAGAGGGAGCAGGAGAGGGAGCCTGATGCGGGGCTCGATCCCAGGACCCCGGGATCATGACCTGAGCCGAAGGCAGACACTTAACGACTGAGCCCCCCAGGCGCCCATGGGGGCAGGAGGAATATGTGTGGAATCCTGAAAGACTTGGGTGTCTCCTGGTTCCCCCTTGTTCCACTGCAACTGTGAATGGATGCACAGAGCAATCAAAGAAAGAAGGGTTTGATTTCTAGTGGCCCAGATTCCTTAGGTGTAAGGTTTAAGTCACATTCCCCAAGTCAGCCACAAGGACACCCACTCCTGTGCCCTAAAATCTCCAAAGCATTTGTGCAGAGGCCTTGTGTCTCATGGGCTATTCCCAGCCAACGACTGGTCACAGAGGGACACTAAGGCAGGCTTACTTCCAAGACACAAGGGGCTGCTCTGCTGGCTAACTGTGCTTGAGGACTCCCTACTAGGTACCAGGAACAGGTTTATTTTTTAGGAATACAACTGACAAAAATAGCCCAAAGGCCCTGTGCTCATGTGCCTTACATTCTAGAGGCTTCCCAAGAGTGAGATGGAGCCGTTGGAGCATTTTCAGTGAAGACATGACCCGACCTGACTCACAGCAACAGGATCGCTGCCGCCTGTGAGGAGAAGGGCCCTGGGTGGCAGGTGATCGGGTGGCACCAGGGACCCAGTTCAGGAGTGAGAGGTGGTGGAGACTAAGGAGAGGAGTGGGTCCAAGGGATGAGAGAGACACAGAAAGGACTGGAGATGCAGGATGAGGAAGAGGAGCAGAGGGAACGAATTCTTTTATTTTTTTTTTTTTTAGATTTTATTTATTTATTTGACAGAGAAAGACACAGTGAGAGAGGGAACACAAACGGGGAGTGGGAGAGGGAGAAGCAGACTCCCCACCGAGCAGGGAGCCCGATGTGGGACTCGATCCCGGGACTCCAGGATCATGACCCGAGCCGAAGGCAGTCGCCCAACAGAGGGAACGAATTCTAAAGCAGTGTAGTTCTCAGATTTAAATATGTTGTTATATAGATTTTTTATTAAATCTATATCTACAGGTCTTACCAAGATATTTTTTGCATCTAGTATTTACTATATTCTGTGGCGCTGCCTGAAAACCAATTGCCTCCTTATGCTAATCAGTTTAACATGTGTCTAGATAAAATATAAAATGTGTCTGGATAAAATATGTGTTTAGATAAAATATACACACTGCTTAGATGTGAATAATGCATACAAATAGGCGATGCAGGAGCACTGGTGAAGGGCATTTTGATTGCATGGAACATTGCAACTTTGAGGTTCTTCAAGTTTGTACATACTCCTGGTTGAAATACTTAGTATCAAACTGTGCTTCCATGTGCTTCCATGTATTGAGGATATGAGGGGAACTCACACAGACAAACTTAGGGCTATGGAATGAAGATTGTTTTTAGAAACAAAGAAGAGGATCATAGGGGAGGGGAGGGAAAAATAAAATAAGATGGAATCAGAGAGGGAGACAATCCATAAGAGACTCTTATAGGAAACAAACAGGGTTGCTGGAGGGGAGGTGGGTGGAGGGATGGGGTAACTGGGTGATGGGCATTAAGGAGGGCACAGGATGTAATGAGCACTGTGGGTTATATACAACTGTGGAATCATTGAACTCTACCTCTGCAACTAATAATATACTATATGTTAATTAATTGAATTTAAATAAAACAATAATAATTAAAAAAGAAAAGAAAACACGAGAGCTCTACCTGCTGGAGCTTAGTAGCACCTGTGAGGAATCGGAGCTAAATTATCTCAACTCAGTGAGACAAAAGCTCAGAGCTTTGTGGAAAATAGAAAACAAGTACCTACAAAGCTTTAATATAAGGTAAGAAGGTGCCTGAGAACTCGGAGGGATTCCTTCCAGCTGGAAGTACCATTTGGAGGTGAACCTTGAAGAAGAGTAGAACTGGGGTGTGTGGATGAGGGGACTGGGTTGGAGGATGAGCTGAGTGGAGAAGCAGACATACGGAACTCCCAAGAATATCCAGTTATTAAGCCAGTGTGTGCAGACAGCTGGTGGAAGGTAAGATTTGAAAGGGAATTTGGGGTCTGTTTGTAGGGAGCTAGGAATATGAAACTAAAAAGTTTGAGCTTTAATTGGAGCCATGAGAGTTGTGTTGTTTTTGTTTTTGTTGTAAGTGCTTTTTAAAATTAATGTTTTTTACTTTGAGCTAATTGAAGACTCACATGCAATTATTTTTTTTTTTAAAGATTTTATTTATTTGTCAGAGAGAGAGAGAGTACAGGCAGGGGGGGAGGAAGAGGGAGAAGCAGGCTCCCCACCGAGCAGAGAGCCCGACGCGGGACTCAATCCCAGGACCCTGGGATCATGACCTGAGCCAAAGGCAGCCGTTTAACCGACTGAGCCACCCAGGCACCCTGACTCACATGCAATTATAAGAAATAATAGAGATCCTGAGTAACTTTTACTCAATGGTAATACCTTGCAAAACTGTAGTCAGTATTACAACTAAGATATTAACATTGATATAATCCATTGCTCTTATTCAGGTTTCCCCAGTGTTACTTGTACTCATCTGGGTATGTGTTTAATTCTATGGAATCTTATGATATATATAGGTTTGTATATCCATAAACAGAGTCAAGATATAGCCCAAACGTTTTCTTTTTTCTAATAATTTTTTTAAAAGATTTTATTTATTTATTTGAGAGAGACAGAAAACAAGTGGTGGGAGGGCAGAGGGAGAGAGAGAGAAAAGCAGGCTCCCTGCTGAGTAGAGAGCCTGATGTGGGGCTCCATCCCAGGATCCGGAGATCATGACCTGAGCCGAAGGCAGACGCTGAACCAACTGAGCCACCCAGGCACCCCTTTTCTAATAATTTTATACTTTAAATGTTATATATATGTTCTATTATACATTTTAAATTAATTTTATAAAGTGAGAGATTTAGCCTCAAGTTTCTTTGTTTGCTTGTGTTTTTGTCTGTGGATGTCCAGTTGCTCTAGCACCATTTATTGAAAAGACTATCCTTTTGCACTGAATTGCCTTTGTGCCTTTGTGCCTTTGTCAAAAATCAGCTGAGCATATGTGTGGGTCTATTCCTGGGTTCTCTATTCTGTTCCATTGATTTATATGTCTATTTCTCTGCCAACATTACAATGTTTTAATTACTGTAGCTAAATCATAAGCCTTAATATGAAATAGAGTGATTCTTCTCACTTTAGCTCTCTTTTTTGAGTGTGTTAGTTCTTCTAGGTACTATGCCTTTCCATATAAATTGTAGAATAAGCTTGTCTATGTCTACAAAAAACCCACAATCCCAGTAAGGATTTTGGCAAGAATTGCATTAAATCTATAGATCAATTTGGAGGGAACTGACATCTTTACTAGGTTGAATCTTCTTATACATGAACATATTATGGCTCTATTTAATTTGCTTTCTTTTATTAGCATTTTGTAATTTTCAGCATTCAGATCCTTTATGTGTTTTGTTAGGTATATACACTGTATTTCATTTTCTTTATAACTGTAAATAATACTGTGTTTTTAATTTTGGTTTCCATGTAGCCTGTGTTACTATATAAAAACATCCATTTATTTTCAACCTACCTGTGTCATTAAATGTGAAGTGAGTTTCTTCTCACTTCAAACACCAAACCAAACCAAACCAAACCAAACAATACAGTCACAGTTATGCTGTCTGACAAAGTACAACTTAGTAGCTTTGTGAGTCTTCATTGCAATGTTGTTTAGACATTTCTACAGGAAGGGGCAAAACCACTTTAGGGATCAGATTCTGATGTTCAGGGATTATCAAGATTGTGCTACCACTGTAGTGAATTAACAAAAAGGAAACTGATCTCTATGAGAATCTCTAGCTGGGGTTTTCGATCGAAACTCCAGGCTTAAAGAGAAAATTCCCGTTCCTTCATCTCCATTCCCAGGGCGAGCTCACTCTCTGGCATCCAGTTTCTTGGGGGTGAGTTTTCTTTTAGAAGAGTCGGGAGGAGAAGTAAGGAATAGGAGTTCAGCTCAAGGCGAGGGATTCCAGGAACGGAAAGGGACAAAAGCGGGCTGATCCCAGCCAGGTATCTCTCCCTGGTGTCTCTTCCAGAAAGACCCTGGGCCAGGCCTCAGGGAGACAGTGAGACAAAGAGCGCTCTGTGCAGGTGGAGAGGAATCAGGGCAAAGCCCCGGGCTCGTGGAAGGCCTGGCTCTGGAAGTCCCAGGCCTGAGAGCCTGGAGCGTCTGGGGCAGGGAAGCCCAGTCCCTTACTCTGCGTGTTTCTCTTCTCGCTCTCACAACCTGTCAGGTTCTCCCGTCTGGATACCATGACGTAGTCCCAGCTCGCACTCCCACTGTCCGGTTTCTAGAAAAGCCAACCAGCGTCACCGCGGTTCCCGGCCAGTCCGTGCCGCAGACCCGCCGGGACTTAGTTCCTCCAGACCCCAGGGATGCGAGTCGTGATGCCCCGAACCCTCGTCCTGCTGCTGCCGGCGGCCCTGGCCGTGACCGAGACCTGGGCGGGTGAGTGCGGCGGCGGGAGGAAAGGGCCTCTGCGGGGCGGGAGCGAGGGGACCGCGGGGCGGGGACGCGGGACCCCCGGGGAGGGCGCCTCTCCTTCGCCCCCGCCCCAGCCCCCCAGCCGCCCCCGGCCCCGCCACGGCCTGTGCTCCCCCGCCCCTCCCCGCCTCCGCCCTGCTCTCCCGCCCTCGGTGCCCCTCCCCTGCCCTCCCGGCCGCCTCCCCCTGGGCCCCGGCCCCGCGCCGGGACGAGGGTCGCGCGGGGTCTCAGCCCCTCCGCGCCCGCAGGCTCCCACTCCATGAGGTATTTCCACACCTCCGTGTCCCGGCCCGGCCGCGGGGAGCCCCGCTTCGTCATCGTCGGCTACGTGGACGACACGCAGTTCGTGCGGTTCGACAGCGACGCGGCGAGTCCGAGGATGGAGCCGCGGGCGCCGTGGATGGAGCAGGAGGGGCCGGAGTACTGGGACCTGGAGACGCGGATCGCCAAGAACAACGCACAGAGTTTCCGAGGGAGCCTGAACGTCCTGCGGGGCTACTACAACCAGAGCGAGGCCGGTGAGCGACGCGGGCCCGGGTCCCGGTCACGACCCCCATCCCCACGGACCTGCTGGGGTCGCTGGTTCCGAGCGCCATCCTGAGGCTGCGGGACCCACCGGTCCCCCGATCCAGGAAGAGCCAGCGGACGCTTGAGCAGTTCTACTTTCTGTTTGGATTTCATCTCTTTCTTGTCCGGGAAGGGACCATGGGGGGGCGGAGGGGACTGAAGGCGGCGGTGGGGCTGCGGGGCGTGGCTGACCGCGGGGCCGGGGCCAGGGTCTCACACCATCCAGGTGATGTACGGCTGTGACGTGGGGTCCGACGGGAACCTCCTCCGCGGGTACGGGCAGTTCGCCTACGACGGCGCGGATTACATCGCCCTGAACGAGGACCTGCGCTCCTGGACCGCGGCGGACACGGCGGCGCAGATCGCCCGGCGCAAGTGGGAGGCGGCCGGTGAGGCAGAGAACTGGAGGAACTACCTGGAGGGCACCTGCGTGGAGTGGCTCGGCAGGTACCTGGAGAACGGGAAGGAGACGCTGCAGCGCGCAGGTTCCAGGGGCCGCAAGGCTTCCACGATTTCCCCTCTGGCTGAGGCCTCCTAAGAGGATAGGAAGAAATGGGATCCATACCAGTATATGGCCCTCCCGTGGGTCGGGTCTGGAGACTAACTCCGCCTGGGTTTTCAGACCTGGTACCGGAGTGGCCCTAAGAGTCTGCCTTTCTCCTAGGGACCGTTGAGGGTTACAGTCTCCCCAGGGATGGAGGAGGAGACCATTTATGAAATAACTGATGAGCGTTTCCCTTTGATTCACAGTGCCATTGGGAACCTTGGGGGATTTTCTTAGGCTTTGTTCTCTGTCCCATACCCCATGTGTTTGGGGTCTGACTTTACCTATTCTGAGTCACTTGGCCTCCAGCCAGGCTAGGACCAGAAATTCCTTTTTTTCCTCACAGAAACGTGCCTTCTACACTGGGCCATCTCACCCTAATTCTAGAACTTTCCAAACAAGAAGAGATTTTGTGTTCAGGCTGGTGTCTGGGTTATTGCTCTCTTTCCCCACCCCAGTTGTCCTGTTCATTCTCAAGATGGCCACATGAGAGCTGCTTCAGTGGACCAAGACAGATGTAAAGTTCCTGAATTTTCTTTCCTTTTTAAAAAATTTTTACATTTAAATTCAGTTTACTTAACATATACTGTATTATTAGTTTCAGAGATAAGATTTAATGATTCATCAATTGCATATAACACCCAGTGCTCATTACATCACCTGCCCTCCTTAATGCCATCACCCAATTATCCCTTCCCTCCACCCACTTCCCCTCCAGCAACACTGTTTGTTTCCTAGACTTAAGAGTCTCTTATGGTTTGTCTCCCTCTCTGATTTCATCTTATTTTATTTTTCCTTTCCTTCCCCTATGTTTATCTGTTTTGTTTCTTAAATTCCACATATGAGTGAAATCACATGGTATTTGTCTTTTGCTGACTTATTTCACTTAGCATAATACCCTCTAGTTCCATCCATGTTGTTGCAAAGATTTCATTCTTTTTGATGGCTGAGTAATATTCCATTGTGTGGAATATTCTTCTTTATCCATTCTTCTTTATCCATTCATCTGCTGATGAACATCTGGGCTGTTTCGATAGTTTGGCTGTTGTGGACATTGCTGCTATAAATATTGGGGTGCATATGCCCCTTCAAATCACTGTGTTGGTATCCTTTGGATAAATACCTAATAGTGCAATTGCTGGGTTGCAGGGTAGCTGTATTTCTACCTTTTTGAGGAACCTCCATACTGTTTTCCAGAGTGGCTGCACCAGCTTGCATTCCCACCAACAGTGTAAGAGGGTTCCCCTTTCTCCGCATCCTCGCCAACATCTGTTGTTTCCTGAATAGTTAATCTTGGCCATTCTGACAGGTGTGAGGTGGTATCTCATTGCGGTTTTGATTTGTTTTTCCCTGATGCCAAGTGATGTTGAGCATTTTTTCACGTGTCTTTTAGCCATCTGGATATCTTTGGAAAAATATCTATTCGTGTCTTCTGCCCATTTCTTGACTGGAGTTTTTGTTTTTTGGGTGTTGAGGTTGATAAGTTCTTTATAGATTTTGGATACTAGCCCTTTATCTGATAAGACATTTGCAAATATCTTCTCCCATTCTGTAGGTTGCCTTTTAATTTGTCGATTGTTTCCTTTGCTGTGCAAAAGCTTTTTATCTTGATGAAGTCCCAGTAGTTCATTCTTCCTTTTGTTTCCCTGGCCTTTGGAGACGTGTGCAAGAAGTTGCTGCGGCTGAGGTCAAAGAGGTTGCTGCCTGTGTTCTCCTCTAGGATTTTGATGGATTTCTGTCTCACATTTAGGTCTTTCATCCGTTTTGAGTTTATCTTTGTGTATGGTGTAAGAAAGTAGTTCAGTTTCATTCTTTTGCATGTGACTGTCCAGTTTTCCCAACACCATTTGTTGAAGAGACTGTCCTTTTTCCATGATGGATATTCTTTACTGCTTTGTTGAATATTAGTTGAACATACTGTTGAGGGTCCATTTCTGGGTTTTCAGTTCTGTTCCATTGATCTATGTGTCTGTTTTTGTGCCAGTCCCATACTGTCTTGATGATGACAGCTTTGTAATAGAGCTGGAAGTCCGGAATTGTGATGCCACCAGCTTTAATTTTCTTTTTCAACATTCCTTTGGCTATTTGGGGTCTTTTCTGGTTCCATACAAATTTTAGGAGTATTTGTTCCATTTCTGTGAAAAAAGTGGATGGTATTTTGATGGGGATTGCATTGAATGTGTAGATTGCTCTAGGTAGCATTGACACCTTCACAATATTTGTTCTTCCAATCCATGAGCATGGAACGTTTTTCCATTTCTTTGTGTCTTCCTCAATTTCTTTCATAAACGTTCTATAGTTTTCAGAGTACAGATCCTTTACCTCTTTGGTTAGATTTATTCCTAGGTATTGCAGGGGTTTTGGTGCAATTGTAAATGGGATCAATTCCTTGATTTCTCTTTCTTCTGCCTCATTGTTAGTGTAAGAAATGTAACGGACTTCTGTGCATTGATTTTATATCCTGCCACTTTGCTGAATTCCTGTATCAGATCTAGCAATTTTTTGGTGGAGTCTTTTGGGTTTTCGACATAGAGTATCATATCATCTGCAAGGAGTGAGAGTTCGACTTTTTTGCTGATTTGGATGCCTTTTATTTCTTTTTGTTGTCTGATTGCTGAGGCTAGGACTTACAGTACTATGTCGAACAACAGTGGTGAAAATGGACATAACTGCCATGTTCCTGACCTTGGGGAAACCTTCTCAGTTTTTCCCTGTTGTGGATGATATTCACTGTGGGTCTTTCATATATGACTTTTATGATATTGAGGTATGTTCCCTTGATCCCTACATGGCAGAGAGTTTTTATCAAGAAAGGACACTGTATTTTGTCAAATGCTTTTTCTGCATCTATTGAGAGGATCATATGGTTCTTGTCCTTTATTAATGTGTCTCACACTGATTGATTTGCGGATGTTGAACCACCCCTGCAGTCCAGGAATAAATCCTTTTAAGGTACAGTTGGATCCTGTTAGCTAGTATCTTGGTGAGAATTTTTGCATCCATGTTCATCAGGGATATTGGTCTATAATTCTCCTTTAAAATGGGGTCTTTGTCTGGTTATATGTATCTGTGAATATATATAGGATATATATAGAATATATCTGTGACGTCCAGCTGGTGCAGTGTGTCATCCAAAGCCCTTGTTTCCTTGTTGATTTTCTGCCTAGATGAGCTGTCCATTGCTGTGAGTGGGGTGTTAAAGTCCCCTAGTATTACTGTATTACTATCAATGAGTTTCTATAATTTTATTATTAATTGGTTTAGGGGCATAAATATTTACAATTGTTAGATCTTCTTGTTGGATAGACACTTCTATTATGCTATAGTGTCCTTCTTCATCTCTCCATTAATTTTTGGTTTAAAACCTGGTTTGTTTGATATAAGGATGGCTACTCCAGCATTCTTTTGATGTCCACTGGCATGATAAATGGTTCTCCAGCCCCTCACTTTCAATCTGGAGGTGTCTTTGGGTCTAAAATGAGTCTTTTGTAAGCAGTATATCCATAGGTCTTGTTATTTTATCCATTCTGATACCCTATGCCTTTTGATTGGAGCATTTAGTCCATTTACATTCAGAGTAATTAGTGAAAGATATGAATTTAGTGCCATTGTATTTCCTGTAAAGTCGTTGTTCCTGTAGATTGTCTCTGTTCCTCTCTGGTCTTTGTTACTTTTGGGCTCTCCCTCCACTCAAAGGATCCCCTTTAATATTTCTTGCATGGCTGGTTTAGTGTTCACAAATTCCTCTAGTTTTTGTTTTTCCTGGACACTCTTTATCTCTCCTTCTGTTCTGCATGACAGCCTTGCTGGATAAAGTATTCTTGGCTGCGTATTTTCTCCATTTAGCACCTTGAATATATCACGAAGTCCTTTCTGGCCTGCCAGGTCTCTGTGGACAGGTCTGCTGCCAGCCTTATATGTCTAACCTTATAGGTTAAGGACCTCTTGTCCTGAGGCGCTTTCAGGATTTTTTCTTTATCTTTGAAATTTGCAAGCTTCCCTATTGTATGTCAAGGTGTTGACCTATTTTTATTGATTTTGAGGGGGGTTCTCTGTGCCTCCTGGACTTGAACTTCCCCAGATTAGGGAAGTTCTCAGCTATAATTTGTTCAAATAAACCTTCTGCCCCTTTCTTCCCCTCCTCACCTGGGACTCCAGGATCATGACCTGAGCCGAAGGCAGTCACTTAACCAACTGAGCCACCCAGGCGCCCTCAGTAATAGCATTTTTAATGCCTGACTAGATTTTAGTTCTTTTATTTCTACATTAAGGGATTCTCAGTGTCTTCTATGCTTTTTTCAAGCCCAGCTAGTATCTTTATAATCATTTTAAATTCTAGTTCAAACATCTTATATCCATATTGATTAAATGCCTGGTAGTAAGTACTGCCTCCTGTTCCTTCTTTTGGGGTGAATTTCTCCATCTCATCATTTTGTCCAGAAAAGAATAGAAGAATGAGAGAAAAAACAACAATAACAATGACAACAGGAAAAAAAAAAACAACAGAAAGAAAACAAAACAAGAAATAAAAAACAAAACAAAAAACTAGATCCTTGGTGTGTTTTGGTCAGCTTATTAAGAGAAACTAGATCCCAAAATAAGAAAGACAAACATATATATACAAAAATAAAATAAAATTCAATGGAAGGAAACAAAAATTTAAAAAATATATAATGTATATATAAAATTTAAAAAGAATTAAAAAAGAATTAAAAAATAAGAAAATAACAAAAAATAATACTGAAGTACTAGAGAATAAAAAACCCCATGATGCTATATACTGGTTTCCCCAAGAGCTGAAGCTTTGCAGCCCCTGTGATCAGTTGTCCCTGCCAGTCTTCTGGGGGCGGGGCGTGTTGCGCGGATTCTCCGGGGGACTTTGCCCTGGTGGGATTGCTCCTCCCTGGCAGAGGCCGGGCCCAGTGTAAGCAGCTCTGGACTCCACCAGGTGGCGCTGCTTTGCTCCCCGAAGGCTTCCAGCTCCGCTGCGCGGGATCAATACGGCTGCACCGTGCTCTCTAGCCGGGAGCTGAAAATGCACCCCCCGACCCCCTTCAGTGAGCCCGCACCGAGAAGCAGTCACTGTGGTCTCCCTGCTTGCCCTCGGAACTCTGTTCACCCAGCCTGTGACCAAGCGATTTTATGTCAGGCATGTGACCGAGTTTCAAAACTCCAAACTGGACGGACTCCCGCAGCGTGGCCCCCTGCAGTTCTTCCTGGGGGGGAAGGGGGGTCTCCTGTGCTCTCCCGCCTGCTGGGCCGGCTCGGAGAGTGGTTTGCCGGCTGCGCAGCGGTTCCCGGGTTAGGACAACACCAACACCGAGCAGAAAGCCGGCGCCTAGACCCGCTGATTGCAGCCGGCTGCCCGCTCCGACGCCCGGGAGCCCCGCCGCACTCAGGCACCCCTGCTCTTCCTGCGAACCCGGGATCCGGAGACCACACTGTCCCACCTGGATTCCGCCCCCGGAGCACCTTTAAGCCAGGGACGTCCCTCACTGGAGCCGACTTCTAGAAGTTCTGATTTTGCGCTCTGCTGCTTCTAACACTTTGCCGTGGCCTCCTTAAGCAAGCTGTCTCCGCTCCGCCGTGGCCTCCGCTATTTCACCCCGGATTCACGTCTCCACACCTCCTACCGCCCAGACTGGGGTCGCTTTTCTGCTTGTAGCCTTGGAGGCTTTCTTTTGTCACATCTCCCGTTGATTTATTGGGTGTTCAGAATTATTTGATAACCGTCTAGCTGATTCCAGGGACCAGCTGAACTTAGGGTCTCCTACTCCTCCCCCATCTTAACTCCTCCCTAAGTTCCTGAATGTTCTGACCCTTCTCTTCAGATCCCCTGAAGACACATGTCTCCCGCCATCCCATCACTGACCATGAGGTCACCCTGAGGTGCCGGGCCCTGGGCTTCTACTCTGGGAAGATCACCCTGACCTGGCACCACAATGGGGAGGACCTGACCCAGGACACAGAGCATGTGGAGACCAGGCCTGCAGGGGATGGGAGCTTCCAGAAGTGGGCGGCTGTGGTGGTGCCTCCTGGGCAGGAGCAGAGATACACGTGCCATGTGCAGCATGGGGGGCTGCCCGAGCCCCTCACAGAGAGAAGGGGTAAGGAGGGAAACTTGGGCACGGAGCCTCCTGTCAGGGACATGAGGAGCTCCTGTGGAGAACTTCAGGAGGGTTGGGGCTGAGAGCTGGGGGGCAAGGCCCTCTCCTTATCTCTTCCCAGCGTCCCCTCCTCGGCCCCCCATTCCTGTCGTGGGCATCGTGGCTGGGCTGGTTGTCGTTGTGGTCACTGGTGCTCTGGTGGTTGGAGCTGTCATGTGGAGGAAGGAGGGCTCAGGTAGGGAAGGGGGCTGCTCTGAGTTTTCTTGTCCTTGTGCAGTGTTTCAAGCCCAGGTGGAAGTCTGTCCTGCCTTGTTTGTGGGCAGAGCCGACCGCACTCATGTGCTCGAGCACCGTGCGGCTCATGGCTCCATTCACCGTAGTAAAGCACAGGTGAGAGTGAAGGACAGATTAATCACCCCAGTGAATGTGATGACAGACCCGATTCCCAGCAGTCACAGGTCAGAGAGCAAGGTCCGTGCTGAGGACAGACTCCAGGAGGACGGTCGGTCTCGCCCTGCCATCTCTTTTCTTCCTGTCCCTGATCCTGCCTTAGGTCTGCGGTGACCGTTCTGGAAAGTTCCCTGTGGTCCAGGCTATCCGTATCATCTAGGATCTCGGGCCCTGCCTCCTCCATGGCATCCCATGGGATGTTTTCTTTCCCAGGGGGAAGAGGAAGGAGTTAAGCTGAGGCTGCATGTAAGTATGGAGGGGGTGATCCCTGAGACCCTGAGACAGTGTAGACGGGACCCCTCGGGGAACTCACTCACGCCACAGCTCCTCCTTTGGTTTCATCTCCTGTGAGTCTGACCACAATCTGTCTGTCCTGCCCCAGGCAGTGACAATCCCCAGGGCTCTCTCTGCTCCTAAAGGTGAGACCCTGGAGGGCCTGACGGGAGGAGGGGAGGGGGGAAGGGGCCATGACTGGGTAGCGGGGATTCTTTGAGGAGGATACTTTGAGCATGTGGTGGGCTGTTGAGAAAGTCTACATGTATATGACTGACCTGAATTTGTTCATGATTATTTCCTTTCACAGTGTGAGCCAGCTGCCTTGTGGGGGACAAGCGACGCAAGATGTGTTCACTTTCCCACCTTGTGACATCAACACCCCTGATTTCTCTCTCTGCAAAGGGCATCTGAATGTGTCCGTGTTCCTATTAACGTAACGTGAGGTGGGGAGACTGCCCCTCTCCGCACACGACTGCCCCCCTCTCCCCGCCCCGACCGACCTGTGTCCTCTTTCCTCATCTGCTTTTGTGTTCCAGCCGAGGGCGAGTGGGCCATCTCCTTCTCTGTCTTTACTTTATGTTACACTGAGCTACAACTTCTTACTTCCTTGTTGAAAATAGGACTCTGGAGGTAAATTGGGTTTTTCCATTTCTTGTCATGAGGAGTGGATGAGTTAGTGAAAGGAGAGGCTTCCTAAAGTTTGAGAGAAGAAATCAATGGAAGCACTGAGAACCTTCCAGAATCTGCAAGTTTGGTGTGCTGGGTCTGCTCTAGGTGGGGACAGGAAAAGGCTGCTAGGAGCCTCGTGTGGAGGAGCCTCATGCCCAGTTGGTGCTCAGTTCAACGGGGGTGTGACATGGTCACTGCTCAGGTGGGGAGTCTCTCTGCTCTCTTGTCCTTGTCCCTCCAGTAGGACCTGGGATGACAGAGCCTCGGACATCACCCAGACCTTGTCCTGCCTCCGGGACTGGCCGTGGGCAGCAACGTTGCGTGGCCGGGTCAGCCTCGGCTCAGGCCTGGGTTGGGCCCCCGGCCCATCTTTGGGTGTTTCTTTGCTGTTCCTCTGTTTCTGTAGAGGACTAGGCCTATTTTCACGTTCGTGTGGGAGTCTGGTCTCACTGAGCTTCGGGTGTCTCCTGTCTGACAGTGGCAGGAGGTGGTTGGCCCGGCGGTGTCTCCACAAGGCCCAGGGCAGCCCCCGTGCCGGGAATCTGTAGTATCCAGAGTTATTTTCACACGCAGTCAGGACTTGCCCTCCTTCTGGGGCTCGGTTGTTCTTCCCATCTTTTCCCCAGTCTTCTCGGACGACCAGACTCTGGATTAGCAGACGGGGGCGTGCCGGAACCTCGCATTTTAAATTCGTTGCTCTTACGTCCCCACCTCTGCTTGCCTGCGCTCTGCCCTCCTGATCCCGTGCGGGCTCCAGTCCCAAGTCAAGGAGCTACGGACGCAGCAGAGTCTCCTTCGATTTCTGTTCGGCTGGGAAGGAGCACCTGTGAGTCGAGGATGGCGGTTTGTTGGCAACGGGAATGCCCTTGGTGTGCAGGGCAGGTGCTGTGAGAGCAGGGAGGGAGGGAGGGGACGGCGCGGTGAGGGAGTCCGGGGCGCTGCGGAGGGAGGAGGGGCAGCGGGAGGGCTGACCGGGCCGCAGCGGCCGCAGAGTGAAGGTAGTGCCTGTGGCCTGGGGAGGTGCTCCACACTCGTCACCCCGTGACTGGCGTAGGTCGTGCGCCACAGACGGGACACGCGCGTTTCGCGTCTGGGAAAGACCTTGAAGTTCTGCTGGTCTTCCCAGCACACTTTGAGCCGCGGGAACGAAGATTAGGATTCCCCGTGGCTGTGCCTCAGCCTTGCTCGTGGGGCTTGTTAAATCGGGGATTCCTTGACCTGGTGCCTAATCCTCGGAGCCTGTGGGTCTGGGGCCTGGTGCTCAGCCGGATGGGGAGCCGCTGAGGTCGCGGGGAGAGCAGGCCAGGGTGGGCGGGGCATTAAAATCGCATTTACGTCTGTCCCCCCGCCCCCCGCAAAGAGGAGGGAGGACGTTTGCTGTCGTGTGCGGGGTGATGTGGGAGATGCACGTCCTTGTTTCATCGCGGGTGTCGTGGGGGGAGCGTCAGGGAGCGGGTCGCATTGGGACGGCGCGCATCTGCGGACGCTTGCTCCCCGCAGCTCTTCCTCTGAGCAAACGCTGCGGTCCGGCGCCGCCCGACCTGAGACGACAGGTAGTGCGCTCACACACGCGTCGGCCGGGCGTCCTCTGCGTATGTGACGTGTGGCCTGGGGACCAGCAGGGACAGGCTTAGCTGCGCGGCCCGGGGCCCGAGCCGTCGTGCCACCGCAAGCCCGGCCTCTGCCGCGGGCACAGATGTCCCCGCGCGCACGGCGGACTCCGCTGAGGCGGGACACTGGCCGCCGCGGCCGCGCGTGGGCCTGGGGTCGCACTGCCACTCACGTCACCTGTCACACGCCTCGTGCGCAGTGGCAGCCTCTGTCTGTCAACGGGTCGTGCGTCGGGTCCAGCGTGTGCCCCCCTGTCTGGCGGAGCCGCGGGCCGGGTCCCACTGGAAGGCTGTGGGGAGAAGAGGTCCGCCTCTTCTGCGGAGGGAGGAGAGAGGCGGGCTCCTCCGGAGGCCCTGACCGGGCAGTTGTCCTCCTGTGGGAAGGCCGCTGGGGTGCTGGGGGCGCGGGATGGAGAAAGCGACTCATCGCGGGTCCTGGAGCATAGATCGGAGGCTGCAGCTCCATCAGGTGCTTTGTAGGCGCTCAGGCTCGGCCGAAGGACCACGTGGCTAATAAATGACAGTTCTCCTGTCGTTCCCTGGATGGCGCGTGGTGAGACCCAGCTGTTGTCCACTGCAGTTTGGCCAGTTGGGCCGGTGGCCCGATGACTCAGGGCGTATGTGCCCTGCCTTTGCTCTGGCAAGGACGAGAACACCTGTAAGACATGAGCGGGTCTGTGTGCGCCGACGTGTCCGTGAATGTTTCTGTTTCGCTGTGCAGGGCGCTACTCTGGGACGAGAGTCTCTAGCATCTGTCAGCTTTTACGTGACCGCTGCCAAGCACAAAAAACCAACCAGCGAAGGAGCCCAGAGCACCGGCTTGGCTTTCTAGGGTAGCTGGAGTGTCCCGCAAAGTCGGGACTGTTCACGCACCACAGGCCAACTGGGCACATGGAAGGTCAGGTTCTTCAGCAGTTCATGGCTCGGGCAGCCCCCAGCTAGCACAGAGCAAGGAGCCTCTTCCAGTAGCAGAAAGGAAAGGATTGTCAAGGCAGAGGGGAGGGGAAAACAGGAAACTATGAGTAAATGAGGCCTTGTTGTGAGCGAGGGGGCCCGACTAAGGGGAAAGGAGGCGGTCTCCCGGCGGCGTCCGTTCAGCGCTGAGCAGGACGTTCCGGTGGCCGATTGCAGGTCGCATTTCTGGGAGAAGGTGAAGCTGCAGTAGGTTAAGTGTGACGTTCTCCGTGGTGCGTAGCATCAGTGACTCCATTCTGGGCCTGCTTTTTCCTTTTGTAACAGGACCGTGAACAGCTGGTCGCAGACGGACGGACGTGATAGCCATGCTTCAGCTCTGCTATCTTTGCTCCTGGACGAGATGAGGTACAGGGTTAACTTGCTTGCTTTTACTCTGAGTTTCTCTTTGTGGAGCAGAGAGGGTTTCTTCCCCCACCTGACCAGCTCTCTGATTCCCTGTCACCACCTGGGTGTCCTCTGATTCATTCATTTCACATCTGACGCTGTCCACCTGGAGTGAGCATGCAATGCACAGGCGGAAGGACTCATCTGGCAAGATTGCCCTCAGCTCACGAGCAAGTCTCCACTCTCAGGTTCCCATGTCCCCTGCGCTGTTGTTCAAGTTGGCTACAAAGTTGGGGGTACCCTGGACGTTCAGTGATTTGCTAGCATGACTCCTAGATCTCAGGAGAATTCCATGCTTACCGTTACGCTTTATTATAAGGATCCACACGAGCAGCCGGATGAAGAGGTGCAGGAGTGTGGGAGCGTGCAGGTCCCCGTGCAGGAGCCTCTGTCACTGTGGACTTGGAATGTGCCACCCTCAGAGCACGTGGACGTGTTCGCCATTTCAGAAGCTCCGTGAACTCCATTGTCGGGAAGATGTCGTAGAAGCTTCATGACGTAGGCATGCTTGAGTCAGTCACTGGCTGTCGGGGATGGAGGTCAGCCTCCAGCGCCTCTCCCCGGAGGTCGGGGAGCGAGGCTGATGGCTCCAACTCTCTAACCATGGCTTGGGCCTCCTGGTCACCAGCCCCAACCTGAAGCTATCTAGGACCCTCAGCCAAGTCATCTCATTAGCACACTAGAGACGCTCTTATCTCTCAGGAGATCCCAAGGGCTTGGGGAGCTCGGTGCCA